TACCCACTCCAGTATTCTGGCCTGGAGAATTCCATGGACTGTATAGTCCATGGGGTCACAAAGAGGCGGACATGACTGAGTAACTTTCACTTTTTACTGATCATGGCATGGGATCTCTTAGTTGTGGCATGTGGGATCTAGTTCCCTGACCAGGGATCAAACCCTAGTCCCCTGCTTTGCCTAAGCATGGAGTCTTAGCCACTGGACTACCAGGGAAGTCCCAGCTATTATTATTATTGTTACCATATTTGATCAAAAATAAGCTGCCAGCAATTGTAAAACACTAACAAAAAATGCTGAAATTAAAAACAGTGGTTTCATATTGCTTAGATTTAGGTATACTTACTGAAAATAGCTGACCTAAACTTCTTTAGACAAAGATTCGTTTCCTATGTCATCCTGCTGTGTTTTTAAAGATACCATAAATGACAATTAAAAACAACACTCACACAATTCAGTTGAAGTGATGACAACATGAATTGCTATGACCCAGTCTTGCTGTTGCTCTTGTTGTTGTTTAGTTGCTTAGTTGTGACTCTTTGCAGCCCCATGGACTGTAGCTCACCAGCCTTCTCTGTCCATGGGATTTCCTAGGCAAGAATACTGGAGTGGGTTAACGTTTCCTTCTCTGGGGGATCTTCTTGACCCAGGAATTGAACCACATCTCCTCCACAGGCAGGTGGATTCTTTACCACTGAGCCCCCATGACCCAGTCTACACATGAACAATTGGCCAACAGCAATCTTAAGATATGTCCCAATTTCAGAGACAGGAAATGCACATTTATGCATCATTGATACAAAGGATTATCATTGTTATTATTAGATACAAGCCTGCAGGAAGGAGTTTGGTGCACTTAGAAAAATAAAGGGAATTCAGTTCATGTTGAGAGTAAACTGCAAAAAGGAAACAGAAAGGAATGATAGAAGTAAAGTTGAGAAGACAAGGCCGGACTGGTATAGAAAACAAGAATATTCTGCTTTCCTTTTGAAACGAAAAGCTGTATTGAACTGATGACATTTTCCTTTGACCTTCATTACTGTACATGAAAATCCCATGAGGCACCCAAGTGAATCCCTTGGGCTTCAAATAAGGCCTTACTTGCCCCTATTGTATAACG